TCGACTAGGTATTACCCCGAGCGATACGAGTTCTGGCCATTTGGCGACCCGTTCGTCCACAAGCGCAAGCGCGCCGAGAGGATGCGCCGCCAGCAGGGGCAGCGCGCGTGGTACGAGGAGGACTGATTGCGCGCCCATCTCCAGAGCGCACGTCAGGCGCACGGAGGCCGCGCGCCGCGTACGCACATTCCCGGTGCGGATGCTCTCCTCCGATAATGAATCAAAGCTAAAAACAGGCCTCGTAAAAAGAAAAACACCGCCGCAGTTCTGTGTGTTCACCGCGCTCCGCGGAGGCGGCTCCAGCCTATTTGCATATTGGACTCCGGCCGTTACCCGTTTTGACGGCGGGACGGATCGGGCTCTTCGGGGACGTGCACCTCGTCACAGGTGGGTCGCGCGGTATTGGTGCGGCCTGCAGCGTCCGGCTAGCCCGCGATGGCTACGCGGTCGCGGTGAATTACAGGAGCGAGGCAGCGGCGAAACGTATTGTCGCGGAGATAGTCGATGGAGAGGGGGCGTCGGTGGAGCGGTCCTCCACTCTGACTCGCTCGCGCGCTCCGCACAAACAAACGCCTCACGCCGTGTCGCGACTCGCGTGTGCTGAGGTGTCTCCACGAGTCGCAGTCGCCAGTCCGAGACACGGACAGTCCAAGTCTGACTCGACACTCGTGTGTGTGTCGTGACTGTTGAACAGTGGTTAAAAACAGCAGTTGAAGTGTGGGGAAATTGACGTTACCTTACCTTACCGTGCCTTGTTACCTAGAGTAGACCCGCCGTGTGCTGCATGGCGAGGGCGAGAGCCCTCCGCCGCACGCACCCCTCGTAGAGGCTCCGCTCACGCTCGAGCTTGTCGTCCTACGGGAGGATGGGTTCGGGTAACGTGGGGTAGGGGAGGATGCGTTCGGGTACCGTGGGGTAGGGGGGGGGGTCTGGCGCTTCTGAGCTTGTCGTCCTACGCGGGTGAATACGCCGCCCTCGGGGCGGGAATAGACTGCCTTCTGGCGGCCGTCGCTGCTTCTCCTTTTACTGCCTGTGCGTGTGCGTCTTTGGCCCGCGGTTGTGCTCTGCGTGAAGAGGGTGCCGTGCAGAGGCGTCAGAGCCCCGCGTGGTTACGAGCGACAGAAAGACAGCGAATACCGCGGAATACGGCCGAGCGCAGCGGAGTCCGCGTCTCCTCTCGAGCGCCGGCTGGGGCACAAGAGTACGTGTTCCGCTTCGGCGGAAGTGCTTTCTGTTTCTAGGCTTGTGGTCGTTCCAGTCCGCGGCCCTCTCGACCCCTTCGGTCGCCGAGTGCCCCGGCGTCTGCACGGCAACCATCGGGTGGAGCGCCTAGTGTGAATACGCCGCAGTGTGAATACGCCGCAGTGTGAATACGTCACGGCGCTGTGTTTTTGTGTGAACGCCACAGTGTGAATGCGCCAACCTCTCACGGATTCCGCTTCTAGGCACGAGATATGGAGAGATATGGGGAGATGTTCCGCTTCTAGGGCGGCGCACATACGCGTGCTCGCAGCGGTAGTGGAACTGCACGTCGACCTGGTCAGGTCCGGTCCGGTAAACTTCAGGGAAGGGGGGGGGGGGGGGGGAGGGGCGACCCTCGCGACTCCACGTCTAAAAAAGACTGCAGCCAACGGAATAAAAGTGCCAGCCCCGGTGTGTGTGTGTGTGTGTGTGTGTGTGTGTGTGTGTGTGTGTGTGTGTGTGTGTGTGTGTGTGTGTGTGTGTGTGTGCGTGTGAGTGTCGACCTGGTCGCCGGCGTAGCGAAGCGCACACAGCTCCTTCATGCCCGCGGGCGAGAGGACGTACGCATGCGCGTCCATCGACCGCACGCGCACCTGGTAGTAGCGGGCAGCCTTAAGTCCGAGATCTGAGCCCCGCGCCAAACCCCAAGCGACCAGGAGCAGGGGACATGGCCTTGCACCACACTTGCGCCACGCGCGGGGACTGGGGAGACGGGAGCGCACGCGCACCTTTCCATCACACCGAGCTGTGAGCTCGCGCTGCTCACACCGGACGCCCCCCCTCGGGCGCACGCGCACCACGGCGCCGCTGCCGGCCAGCAAGTCCATCTTGCGCGGGAAGTGGCCTTCCAATGAAAGACGGGCGGGATGCAAGCAGATTAAAAAAAAGCCTAGAGCCCTCTTGCCGAGGCTGACACTCGCCCAGAAAGAAGATCCTCCAGCCGCTGCCCCCGCCGCCCTCGACCTCGCCGCCCTCGCCCGCGCACTCGCCGCCGCCGCCGCCGCCGCCCTCGCCGCCGCCGCCGCCGCCGCCATGATTGACGCCGCCGACGCCGCTTCTCCCACTCCCGCCACTGCCGCCACTGCCGCCACTGCCGCCACTGCCTCCGCTGCCGCCGCTTCCGCCGCTGCCGCCGCTGCCGCCTCCGAGCAGAAACGCGGCGGCGGCGGCGGCGGCGTGCGGCGTGAGGCGGCTAGACAGGAACTCGACGTCATCCTGCGGGGGGCGGGGAGGGAAGAGCGGCGTGGGAGAGACAGAGCCGGAGGCCAGCAGAGAAGAGACTTGAGAGGCCAGAGAGGAGATACTGCGCGCCTCAAAGGTCAGGGCGCGCCGAGCGCCCGCAGCGAGCGCCAAGCGCGCGGCCTGCCGGCAGGTCGGCTGTGAGCAGCAGCGGTGAGTGCGTCTCGGAAGCGCGTCTCGGAAGCGGCCTTCTGGTGGGCAAGGAAGCAGCCGCGCTTGCCGTCCACGAGGTCGGGCTCCTGCGAACGAGCGCGGACGGGGCAGGCGTACAAGCGATGTCGGCGGCGGGCCGTGTGCAAGTCGTGACTGGGTGTCCTTTGCCTGTTCGAGCCACTGGACGCGATCGGCGAGGCCGACGGCTGCGAACTGGGCCTCGGCGGCGCGGCGGCGTTCGGGACGCGAGGTGAGCGTGATGCACTGCACGAGGTCGATCTCGTTCCACAGCGCCTCCATGGAGGGCACTTTGCGGCTGCTGTGTGGGTGAGAGCGTCTTGTCCAGGTCCCAGGCGCGCGGCACCGGCGGCGGGACGGCAAAACCGGGTCGGCAAAAATAGCGTCGCGCGCAGCGGAAAAAGAATTTGCGTGCCACACGAGCAATGCCGAGCGACGCCCTTTGCGGCAAAGGGGTACAGTCCACACAGCCGAGGTGAACAAAAGAATTCCAAAACTGCTCTCGCGAAAAGAAATCGACCGAGCGTACATGGCATCGCCCTCGCGCAAGCGCGGCCGCACCAGCGGCGGCGAGGAGGAGGGCGAGCCCGTGGCGGTAGCTGCCGGCTTCGAGGCGCCCATCTTTGGCGCGCGCACCGTCGGCCAGGTCACCACGCTGGCGCTCGAGGGCGAGGACGGACCTCTGGCGTCCCTCAGCCTGCTCGGCGTGGCAAGCGATCACGCGGGCGGCTGGTACGTCGCGACGCAGGACTCGGTGCTGCACGTCTCGGCGGCCGGGCGCGTGCGCACCGTGGCGACCTGCGAAGGCGGCAGGTTCTCCCGCGTCGCCATCAGCCCGGATGACAGCGCGCTGTTTGTGACGGACTTCAGCAACGCGACGATCCGTCGGATGGAGGTAGCGACTGGCGCGGTGACTACGCTCGCGGGTAGCGGCGAAGAAGGCGATGCAGACGGCGTCGGCGGCGCGGCGCAGTTCAACTGCCCACGCGGCCTCGCCCTCAGCCCGGACGGCAGCGCGCTGTTTGTGGCGGACTGCGAGAACCACAAGATCCGGCGGGTGGAGGTGACGACTGGCGCGGTGACTACGCTCGCGGGTAGCGGCGAGGAAGGCGGTGCAGACGGCGTCGGCGGCGCGGCGGAGTTCAACTACCCATACGGCTTCGCAATCAGCCCGGACGGCAGCGCGCTGTTTGTGGCGGACTGCGACAGCCAAAAGATCCGGCGGGTGGAGGTGGCGACGGGTGCGGTGACTACGCTCGCGGGCAGCGGCGCCGCGGGCAGCGTTGATAGTGTGGGCGGCGCGGCGCAGTTCCAATACCCAGTGGCCCTCGCCATCAGCCCGGACGGGAGCGCGCTGTTTGTGGCAGACCTCTTCAACCACAAGATCCGGCGGGTGGAGGTGGCGACTGGCGCAGTCACTACGCTCGCGGGTAGCGGCGCCGAGGGCAGCGCTGATGGCGTGGGCGACGAGGCGCGGTTCGAATACCCAGCGGCCCTCGCCATCAGCGCCGACGGCAGCACCCTCTCGGTCTGTGCGAACGGCTGCCTCCGCCAGGTCTGCGTGGCGGCGCCTCCTCCGCCTCCCTCCTTCGCGCCGCTTGTGGTTCCGCCCTCCACCTTCTCCGCCGACATGGAGAAGACGTGGGGCGACGCTACCCTCCCCGAGGGCAAAGTCACCTTCCTGGTCGGCGACGACGAGGAGCGCATCGAGCACGTGAGCAAGAACGTCCTCTGCGTGCGGTCCGTGTTCTTTCGGACCATGTTTGGCATCGGCATGAAGGAGCGCGACGCCGCCGAGGTCACGGTGCTCGAGACGGACCTCGCCAGCTTCACTGCCCTCATCCGCTACCTCCTCACCGACCAGCTCGACCTCGGCGAGGGGGAGGGCGAGCAGGCGCGGCGCGCGCTCGTGCTGCGGCAGCTGGCGCATAAGTACCAGGTGCCGCGCCTCGAGCTGCTCTGTGCGCAGGCGCTGCAGGAGAGCGTCGGGCCGGCGACCGCCGTGCCGCTGCTCGAGGCGGCGCACACGACGGGCGACGGGCGGCTCCTCGCGCAGTGCCGCCGCTTCGTGGCCGACCACGCCGCCGAGGTGCGCGCGAGCGGCGGCGTGGAGCAGCTGCGCGACCTCGGCGTGGCCAAGGGGCTGCTCGGCGACGCGCTCGACCAGGTGGCGGAGCTGCAGCAGGGGGCGCTGCGCAGCCACTCGTAGCGCGCAGCCACTCGTAGTGCGCAGCCACTCGTGGTGCGGAGCGCCATGTACACAGTGCATATTGGCTTCCTTCGTGTCGTTGACGTTGTTTAAGTTGGGAGATTTTTACACAACAATCCTGCGAGGCTTGATAAAATCTCGCAGGAAAAGAGAGGTTTGAATAAAAAGAACTCTTAAAATACAAGGAACACTGGCACGACAAGGGCGCAGACTGGCGCGGACTGGCACACACACCGGCTGAGGGCCCAACAGGAGCGAATGCTTTTTGGGTTGGTTTGGGTTGTCGGCACGGGTTGGGTCGGTGATGGGTTGTCCGCCCAACCGACCGCGTGAGATAGGGTGCTGACCTTTCTCGCCGAGGCTCGCCGTGGCCCCACACGGCGGCCTCTGCTCGGGTTTTCGAGCCAGAACCTTCGTCCGGGCCCACGGCCGGCACGCCATCGTGACTCCGCGCGCTCGGCCTCCACCGGCTTGCTGTGCGGACGGCTTCTTGTGGCTCTCGTCGAGAGCGTTTTGGCGGCCCGGCGGGTGGGAGAATATGTGTCGTCTGTTGTGTCACTGTGTACGTCATATCGGTCTTGATAATAAGCACGGTCGATCCGTCGAAGCGATACACTCGTTCCTATCACGTTGGACGGCTTGCACGGAGCTCTGTGCCAGCACACAGGAAGAGCCGCGCTGCAAGAAGAGCTCGATGGGGAGTGAGAAGCGTCAGAAGAGCTTGAGGGGTAACCTGAAGTCCGTCGTGACGCTTTTATTTCCCCCCAGGTTTGACCGCGCAGCTTTCAAAACTCGACGATATCTTCCGGAAAGACTGAACTTTCCGCAGGCGCCGCGGCAGCATGAGAGGCGCAGAGAGGCTGCGAGTGCTCGACGAGTCTTGCGAGCTGCGCGGTCAAACCTGGGGGGAACTGACCGCATCAAGTCGGACTTCCGAAACCTGGGTGAGCACCTCTGACGGTTCTCCTGCCATCGCCGAAGCTGTGCCTAAGCATAACTCCCAAACCCGCAGGCGCAGCGGCCCGGGGGGCCTTGGGGGCAGCCTGCCGGACCGCCGCTGCACGGGGCTAAGCCCCAGAAGATGGGAGCTGTCGTCCGTGCCTCCCCTCTATGCGTCAGAGTGGGACCTACCTACGCCGCGCCGGGTGGGGGGCGCGCCCGGTCCTCGACGGAGCCGCGGGCGCGCCCCAAGCGAGGCGACCCAGGCGGCGAGTAGTCGCTCTCGTGCCGCGCATCTCCACACCCGGACACGGGCAGGAGCCCCACGGCATTCAAAGTGGTCTGGTGCACTGGTGGTGGTGGTCGCGGTGGGCGTGCGTGTGGTGGCGTGGTGGAGTGCTCGCGGGGGTGCGTGGTGCGTGGTGGCCTGGTGGCGTGGTGAGGGTGGTGGTGGTGGTGGTGGTGGTGGTGGGGGTGGGGGTTGGGGTGGGGGTGGTGGTGGTGAGGTGGTTTAGGGGGTTACGCGCGAATTGCAGTTTCGCGCCACGCCCCTGTAGCGCACCTGCTCCTCGTTCGTTTCCAGCCTTCCAGGCGGTCGTCTCGGCTCTCGCCGCGCTGCACATGGCTGATCTACTCTCCTCGATCTTCTCTCCGAGCGGCTACTCCCCGGCTCTGCGATTGCCGGCCGCCCTCCGCCGCCTCGACGCTGCCCAGATCACCCCGCTCGACGCCGCCGCCGCCCGCCACCAGCAGCTCCGCCTCGCGTGGGACGGCTGGCTCCGGCGCACCGTCGAGGACGTCCACCGCTCTCAGTAACCAGAGAGTCCAACCCAACGGTGCACAAGGTGGTCGAGAGCCCCTCAGGTGAATGAGACACCGTCGCATGTGTGTACTGTGTATGCCGCGAGAGCGTCATCGCACCGCCGCCGCCTCGTTGTAGCCGTCGTCGTCGTCTGACCGTACTTGCACCACGCACACGTCTCCCCCGTGCACGCTCTCCACCCCTTGCGCTGCACTGCCGCCTCCAATCCTGCGCACCGCTCTCTCGGTGCTGCGGTGGAGCTGGAGGAGCCGGCCCGCCGCATCCGTGGCCTGGCGAACAAAGGCGATGTAGGTCGCCAGCCACAGAGTCTCCTCGGTGGGCAGACCCGCCATCGCGGCGCGGCAAAACTGCGCCAGCTGTTGCGCGAGCGCTGCCGAGGCGCGCTCGACCCCGGCCGCAGCGCTCGCCTCCTCCGTGTTGCCTCGCCGCGACGGCCGTCCCGGCGGCGCCTCTCGGAAGACAGGCCACCCGCAGTTCAAACGGGACGTGGCCTCCCGCCCCGACCCCTGGCCGTGCTCCACAGTCGCGGCGATGGCGCGCAGCAGCTTCGCGACGGCGGCGGTGAGATCGGTCAGCGGGCCGGCGAGCAGCTCAGAGAAGTGGGTGCGCGAGGCCCCGGCGGAGCCATTGACGGGGTGACGGGTGTACTCGTCGAGCGTCACGACGGAGTAGATGAAGCGCCGCATATGGGTTCCAACGTCGCGAAAGGTCGCCCAGTCCCCGCCGCCGCCGAGCTCCCACTCCTCCCACTCCGCCGCCGACACCGCCGCCTGGGGGGGGGGGGGGGGGCATTGGCTACGGGGGGGGAAAGGGGGTCATTGGCTACCTCTCGGCTGAAGGCTGGATTATCTCGGCTGACCTCGTACCCGGGCCCCAGCATGATGATCTGCTGGTACGTGGCGGGGATGTCCCACTCAATCTCCGGGTCGTCACAAATCTGGGAAATGCGAGCCAATCTCGATCCGGAGCAAAAGGGGCCAACCACGCTGTTCATCGCCTGAGCCGCGTCAAGCAAATTGTCAGCAAGGATGCCTCGTATTTCTCTCGACCCCAGGATCCCAGGAGGAAGTGCCGTGACAACCATCCCGATGAGCGCCCCGACAAGGATCATGACAACCCGGTAAACCCCAAACTGGAAGTCGTCTCGGTACTCGAGGATGAGTAAAAAGTCAAAGGTGACCCCGGACAGGAAAAGCGCGTAACTCCAACTCGCCCACGCCTTGCTGGAGGCCAAAAAGGTTGCTGCGCCCGTGTAGGCAAAAATGGAGGCGCCAACAAAAACCAAGGCAAGGGGCAAGGGGTCCCGGTTAAAACAAACGGAGGGCA